AATTCGGTAGGTTCATCCAACGAGGACAAACAAATATCAGATTTGTGATCACCATCAAAAGTCACCTATAAATGACGTGCTTCCGAGACAACCCGAACTACTTCGTGAAGTTTTCTCGTAGTATGTACTCAAGTGAACTGTTAAATATAAAATGTACAATTTTATATCGTTTTATTTGAAAATTCTTGATGATATGGATGATAAACTGGCAAATGTCAGTCGCTTGACGTATCCCTCAATAACGTGTTTAGAAGATCGTCATAATTCTTAAAACCATAACTTTCTATTCTTTTCCCATATTTAGAATGTCTTCAAAAGGTGAATTGATTCTAGGCTATTGGGATATTCGTGGATTTGTTGAACCGTCTCGTTTACTTCTTCATTATACAAAGACTCCATTTCAAAATAAATTATATCGTATTGGTGATGCACCCGATTATTCACGCGAAGAATGGCTGAAGGAAAAGTCAACATTAGGTTTAGACTTTCCCAATCTTCCTTATTTGATTGATGGTGATTTGAAATTATCTCAAAGCAAAGCGATACTATGTCATTTGGGACGAAAGTGTAATCTTATGGGCAAAACTGAACATGAAACGTCGATGATCGAACAGTTGATTGATCAAGCAGATGATTTACGTCGTGATTTAAATAACGTTTGTTATCGTGCTATTAATTTTGAAGCGGTGAAAAAAACTTTCTGTGAAACAACATTGCCAACACATTTGAAAATGTATGATGATTTTTTAACTAAACATGGAAAAAAATGGTTACTAGGCGATCAATTGACAGCGGCTGATTTTCAGTTATTTGAATATATTGATTGTTGTTGGTTATTGTCGAATGATACCTGGGAAGAATATCCACGTGTGTTAAAATATATGAAAGAATTTCGTGAAGTGCCGGAATTGAAAAAATATCTCGATGGTGAACACGAAAAGCGACCAATTAACGGAAAGACAGCAAAATTTGGTGGAGCAGCGGTAAAACACGAGGAAAAGAAGAAAGAAGAAAAGAAGCCAGATACGAACGAAACAGAAGCAGCGCCAATCGAAGAAAAGAAGTAAAAAACATCGTTCGCGAAAGAATTCTTGAAGTGCTCAGTTTATTTTAACGCTTTTTGTTTTCATGCTTTTTTTACTAATATTTATTATTTCAGATTTCTTGTTGCATGAATATTTAGAACTTATGTAGGAAAAGTTCTCTTTGATAAAATTCAAAAATATGTAGAAAATCTATATCACTCCGTTCACGTAAATAAATCGTGAGGAATTTTACAGGATTCTATTGAAATAGGATAACGTAAGAAATCCTATTATAGGATATACTGTAGAACGTTTGCTATGAGGGTGAGAGTTCTATTAAAAACGTGAGACAGTTTTCATGAGAATTTTACAACAATAAGAAGTCTACACGATTGACGTTATAGAATATCGTGAGATAACATAAAATCCTATAATAGGAAATGGTAGAATTCCTAGTATTAAAACTCTTATTATTTTCTATACACTTTCTAGCCATCTTTCTTCCAAATTCTATATAAAAAACATATTTACGTAGAAATGTTTGAAATTTTTTTATTTATGTACTCGATAAACGTATCGGAGAATATACTTCTGCAACTCTTACAGATTTATCTGGCTAGGGTCTTGGTTGTTTCCGGTTCGGATGAGACCAGAATCGAAATTAGATATTGAAGAAAATATATGAAAAAGGAGTACAAGATAGCAAAAGGAATAAGGAGATAGGTTGACGATGAGGTTTCCTTCGGTAGAATCCTGTAGAAAATAGTAGGATCCTATCTTACCCTTCTTGGAACTTTCTGAGTAACTGTCACATGTTGAAGAAAGATCAATGATATTGACAGAATTTCTTATTCGATAGATAACTCCCATACGCATAGTCTGTGCTTGCTAATACATATTAGAAATTATTAGTTTATTGAAATTTAGTATTTATTTTCTGCCTTCACCTTTAAAGGACCGCCATTGATATGTTACTGATAGAAATGTTGACTGATCTAAAAGTCGGCGATGGTGGTACGACTAAAACCTTCCGTTACAAACGTATCACCTCGCTGCACACCGAATGTATAAGTTGTATTCCACTTAAGAAATGATAATAAAATAGATACTTATTTCATGAAATTACATGTAAAGCTCGTTTCTAATCGTAAAGATTCCGCTTGTTTTCTCACAAAAATTACCATTTTTACCTACAGTTAAGTACATGTGTGTGACTTATTTTTTGAATATAGCTAAGTGATACTTTGAAGATAAGAACGTCTCACTGACAGAAAAATAAAGTTCATTTCGAGCCGCGGAAAAGTGTTTTTTCGCGACTCTAAATGAACTTTATTTTTTTCTTCACGTTGATATGAATTTTTTTCCTACTAAATGTCTGTGTCTACCGTTAAGTAACAAACACGAAAATTTCAATTTTAAGGTCTTGTCAATGGAGGAAAAAACCGAAGTTTAGAGCAGAGTTGCCAGATGCTTAGGTCAAGAAAGCGGAATAAAAAGCGGAAACGCATTTTTCACCAAACACAAAGGGGTAGCAAAAAAATTTTTTCTAGCGCATTATGATAGTTCCACTTAAACACAAAAGAAGTACAAAACATCATTTAAATCTCAATTTGAATCGATATTGTTTTTTTGTGGATGCGCGTTTTTAATCAGCCGTCATAAATTTTAAGAGTTATGTCAGAGCTGGGCAAGTACGGGGTTTCTCAAGTACGAGTCGAGTACCGAGCCTTCGAGTGTGAGACGAGTACAACAAGCACCAATTTTTTAAATACAGATACCATTGAACCAGGTATGACTATGAATGTCTAAAATAATGTGTGGGAAAAAAAGTCCTATAGCTTTAGTTATTCTCTTAATTAGTCTCTTATTATTTGATATATATCAGAACAAAATATTGACAAAGCGAAATGTTAAAACATTTTTTTTATTTATTGTATTATCAACCTTCAAGTAAATGGAATCAAAGTAAAACTTTGTTACATTTTAGAAAAGTTAGTAGACACACATTCTTTGCCGTTAATGATGCTCGATGTCGTCTCATCAGAAAACCACTTTGCGAGAAAACGCGTTCGATAGAAGCCGATGTCGCAGACACCGTTAGATATTTTAGAGGAAGTTGATATAATCCTGGATAGATGTGCTTTTCAGAAAAAAGTAAATCTTCTTCACGACTTTCTTCGCATAAATAACACACACTTCATCTGGAATTTCAAATATTAGATTATCGAGTACTGACCACCTCGAGTACAAGTACGAGTACGAGTATCAGTCCCTCGAGTACGAGTACGAGTATCAACCCTTCGAGTACGAGTACGATCAAAATCGTACTCGAGTACGGATACTTCGAGTATTTTGCCCAGCTCTGAGTTATGTATGGCAAGATAAAATTTAATTCGAAACTTTTCTGCCTACGACAGCACCTAATGTTTAAGATTTTCTGACCGAGTTGGCTTCCTTGAAGATTTAGTATTTCACTATTTTTCACATTCTCTTTCAGCAACACTTGAGACAAGCTATTGTTTTTCTGTTATCGCTCACTTTCAAATTCTGCTTTAGTTTCTAAAACGTTGTGCATCTGTTTTATAAAAGTTGCAAAGCATTGTTTTGACAAGTCATTCAGCCGTTTATAAATTTCTAATGAGAAAATGTAAAAATCTTTATTGTAGGAAAAAGAACAAAAACAAAAATCCTCAAAAAGCGGACAAATTGCGGAAAAAAGTACAGAAAAATGCGAACCATCTAGCAACTCTGGTTTAGATTGATAAAATTAAAAATAAATCAGATGAATGAAATAAGAACGGTCATTATACAATTGTGACAGTAGAGATGAAAAGGCGTCTACTTCCAACAAAAAATTGATCGATGATCAGTAAAGCCCATTTCACGCCTTTTCATCTACTTTTTTTCGTTTTAACATTTTTAATAGTTTCATTTTTTTTGTATCACCTCATAATTCTATTAATCAATGTACGCTTTTCGATTTATATTTTTTGTCATTTGTACGTGTAAAAAGATGTGAAAGAACTATAGGCTACACGTTGCGAAAAGGGCAGGAATCTTTTTCCAAACTTTCAGTTCTTTTCACTCATCAAGTAAGGTTGTATTGTGTGTTATGTGTCTTACTATTCTCTTCGCAAATAGTATAGTACTAATTTAAAAGTGACACAAAGTAAAACAACTTTTTGTTATTTGGCACGTGAATATCATTTAATGAGAAAGACAGGGAGACGCTCTGATATTAATTATTACTAATTTTCAGTTAATGTTTGTCATCATCTAAAAGACTTTTTGTTACAGACAAACAACTTTTGGAAGCAAAATTCCCACAATTAAAAATTTTTTGATGACTTTTTAAAGAGAATTGGTAAAAAATGAACAACATACTGATACGGTAATTCGATAATAACAGCTAATTTTCAGCTATTTTAGTATCTCGATTGTTGTTAGACTAAGACTAAGATTGTTTATTCACGAAAAGTGAAAAGTGTTCAATGTTAGATAATACAATCTGAGATAACTGAAACTATTCATATGTTAAAAGCTTTATGAAACATTTTGTGGAATACCAGAATTACAAACTTATAACACAATACGTGTATGTTAACATACACTCCTATCATCAAATAACAAAATAGCAACTTAAATGATACTGTCACCCCGACCGAGGCGATAAAGATAAATACATAGAAGAAATACATTTATTTTCTATTCTGTTGCGTTCATTTATTGTCAGAAAATATGACTTTTATTATGCTATTACATAGAAAATACACTGCGTTATCCCGACGAAGAAGACAGTTGTTTTTCACTCGTGTTTAGAGTAGAGCTGGATGAAGGAAACCTAAGGGGTCAAGAGAAGGAAGGAAAAACAATTAAATGCATAAATAAACAAGCTACCAAGTAAAGACGTTATTGGCTGCAAAGTTTATACTCGTGCCCTTAGTAACTCTGAATTTATGATTTCGCGCAAAAGGTTTTCCATTTATGCTTTCAAATTTTACGTATATTATTCTCTATTCTCGTTTTTATTTTTAAATATTTTATTACTGCTGTGCTGATGCTGTCAATGGCGCTGATGTCGCCAACATCGGTTTAGTCTTCCTTTCAGATCAATTCTTAGTAAGAAGAAAAACAGGTTATTTACTTCTGCTCCTTTCAATTGTGATTATTTTTCCTTAAGGAGGTTCATTCTGCAGAGGTCTGTACCTATTTTGCTAGTAGCTGAAAGTATAATCTAATAGGACATCATATTAATGCTCTACGAAATCATGAAAAGTCATGGAAAAACTCTACCGCTACACTTCTACCGTGACTCAACTACATTTCTCTCGTAACACTGCTGACACATCTTTAAAAAGTTTTCCTATGAATCATAGTTAGACCGTCCTATTATGCTGCTTTAATCACGTGAACATTTTGTCGGCGCGAATTTGTAGTCAGAAAGAATATTGAAGACATTTTTTTAATTTGAATGCTACTGGAAGTGACACCTTTTTCTTTTGTTGCGTTTTTTATGCAATTATATAATAATACAATGAAAATCATCTGCTTAAATCATTTTGTTCTTTCCATCTTCTATTTCTTTTTTCCATTGTTTTATCAAAATTTGGCAGCAAGCGACCATGAGAAATCTTCTATTCATGACAAATACATCCAATAAGAAATTGCGAACCAAAAAAAATGTTCTCACAATTTTCCTTATAGTTTTCGGCGTTGTTTTGTATACCACCAAAGATGGCAATACTGAATGCGACTTACGCGGAAAACAAAATGAATTTATTAAAAATTCAAAATGACTTCAAGCATTCCATGTTTAAAAATAGATCCTCAAACTCTGCATAGACTATTGCGATAGACTCGTTGCGTTTTCGATTTCGTTGTTTATTTGTAGCAATTTAGTAACAGTGTGGATCTTCGTTTATCTTTCTTTGGTTAAACGAACCATAATGTATTTTGTAGACACAGTGGAACTTCTCACTATGCTCCAGTGTTATCTATCTTTTGATATGTTTGAGGCAAACGAGCTCAAATAAAAAATTTAAGTGTGAAGAGCAGCATTATTAAATTCTGAAAACGACTAAAGCATTTCAACTTACATATAATCAGACTAATACTTTAATGAGATTATGCGTGGCTTCTTAATTCTTCAATATTTAGAATTTTTTCTAAGGACTAACGAATCAGAGAAAAAGAATTACCCTGAACGATCATGTATTGTAGAAAATTAGTAATGCCAAGGTTTGAAACCGCAAAATGAGGAGACAAGAAACTACTGATCGAATTCTTCGACCTTCTACTTGTGTATTCTTTGCTGTGAATTTTTTAGCACGGTTCAAAATTAACAAACTCAAGATGGTTTCTTTTGGTTTGTTTAATCACCTTCTAAAACATTTTGGCTCTTATCATCTTCGACTACCTCATCTGTGACTAATCTTTTCGCACTGTCATACGCTTACTGCAGCATCTAGTACGAAAAAAAGTATAACATTACTATACTGCCTATAAACGACTAGAAAAAAAAAGATGATACGGTTTTATTGTTAAAAACTATTACCCAGACGAGTGCGGTATGACGCTAACAACAAGCATTGAATTTTGGTATGATGATGCTACGTTTTTACTTTGGTTCTTTCATAGTTTTACCGTAATGCTTTTCCACTGAGTCTGGTCCTAATGATTTAATGTTTTTTATATTCACTTTTGTAATACTTCCAACCTCAATAAAGCCAAGTTGATAGTGAACATTGAGAAATACTTTCCGTAAAGAATTCAGAATGTCTGTTCTTTAGTATAGGAATAAGTCCACTAGTTCTGGGTGGTTTCGAAAACAAATGACTATTTTTCAACTTTCTCTTACTTATCGAGCTGTAACTGTGAAGTCCCTAAATTTTATGAGATGAAGGTTCAAATTATTGTGTCTTATTACCCTTACTCAGAACTGAAAGTATACGAGTACGTTTTTGACATCGTCACGTTTGCAAGAAAAACTCACATTGTCTCTGATAAAAATGTCTATGATCTATATTTCATTTTAGATGGCGTCTTTATCAACAATTGCTGATGATTCGTCATCAAATCATATTCAAACATCGCCAATTGGTAAACGTCCACAAAATAGTAGTGTATTAGTTGTCGGAGCCGGTGGCATTGGCTGTGAATTATTAAAATCACTAGCTTTATGTCATTTTAATACAATCGGTGTTATTGATTTGGATACTATTGAGGTATCAAATTTAAATCGTCAATTTTTATTTCATAAAGAACACGTTGGTCAATCGAAAGCACAAGTGGCATGTGAAACTATCAAAAAACTATGTCCACATATTCAAATAGAACCGTATCATGGCGATGTTATCACGGATGCTAGATTTGATTTAAATTTTTATAAAAAATACGATCTTATCATAAATGCATTAGACAATGTTCAAGCGAGACAACATGTGAACCGTATGTGTTTACAGTCTTCAAAGCCATTGATTGACAGTGGATCAACTGGGTAAGAAACTGCAGATTTAAGAACAAAAACAAAAGAAAATCATGTTGTTCTTGTTTGCTAACTCTTTAATCGATACATACAAAGTGAAACTACTACGAACAATGTATTTTTCTTTTTTGAATAGTTACAATGGTCAAGCAACAATTATATTGAAAGGCCGTAGTCAGTGTTATGATTGTGTTGAAAAACCAAAACAACAACGAACTTATGCCGTATGCACAATTCGAAATACTCCATCTCAACCTATTCATTGCATCGTATGGGCAAAATATTTATATCAACAACTATTTGGCGATAATGATGATCCAAATCAAGAAGATGTAACACCTGACCAAGATGACCCAGAAAATCTTATCGAAAAACCAACAACCAACGGAAATGGTGATCAACATTCGGAAGTAAGCATTGAACTTGGATTTCGTTTTTTTGAAGATGTTACTTTTATTTTTTACTTTGTTTTCTTTAGCATTTTGAATCAAATCAATTACAACCATCACATCGTTTATCTACTCGTGATTGGATTCGTACAAATGATTTTGATGCACAAAAAATATTTAATAAATTATACAATGATGATATTAAATATTTGGCATCGATGAAAAATTTATGGGAAAAACGTCGTCAACCAATACCATTGAATTATGATCAAGCAATACAATTAAATGAAGATGATTACGATAAACAAGCAACAACAACAATAACAACAATGTCAAATACGTCAACGATACCAAAACTGAATGATCAAAAAATTTGCGCAATTAGTGATTATGTCCAAATGTTTTGTCATAGTATTCAAGAACTAAGAAAACGTTTTATTCTACAACAACAGTTAGGTAGGTGACAACTCAACACAAAGAAAATCTTTTCCAAGATACTTGTTACATTTGATGCTAGCAAACATCTGATGAATCGAGAATTATGCCTTACGGGGGAGAAGTCAGGAAACATTTGAGTTAAAATGACCAGCTGGAGCAATGTTGGGATGTGCAGTCGCCTTTTTTGCCTCTTCTTCAATAATAAATAACTTAATATTTCCTCTCTGTTTTAGCGTCATCGGATTCAACTGGTTCCGAGCCGAAATATTTAATTTGGGACAAAAATGATGATGCCGATCTTCGTTTTGTTACATCAGCTTCTAATCTTCGTGCATATATTTTTGGTATCGTACTCACATCTAAATTCGATGTTAAATCAATGGCCGGTAATATTATACCGGCTGTAGCAACAACAAATGCGATTGTTGCTGGTATCACCGTTTTGCAAGCAACAAAAATTTTAGCTACATTAACCACAGATCATCATTTAACATCAATTCAACATTTATCAAATGTTTTTGTTTCAACTGATCGTTCATCGGGTGCAATTATTCAACGAATACCATTAGAAGAACCAAATGAACAATGTTTACAATGTAATGAGCAAGAACGACCAGTGCGTGTACGTTTAAATATGTCATTGTTTACACTACGATCTTTAGAAGAAAAATTAATTAGAAAACATTTAAAAATGTCCAGACCAGATGTGTTTATATCTGATGGACGAATATTAATATCAGCGGATGATGATAATGATGACAATGAGGATGATAAGAATGAAGTCAAATCAAAAACATTAGACAAATTCAAATTATTAAATGGAACAATATTAACATGTGAAGAAGAAGATGAAAGTAAGTGTCCTTTTAATTCAATTGTTTTCTTAATTAATTAACACATCTTTTGCACATTGTTTAGATGAGATAAAATTTAAAATAAAATTAATGTTAGAACATTCTGATGCAATAACGGATAAAGACGATTATGTAGTTGTTGATGATCAAGTAATCAGAGAAATTGAACAAATTCATCAGCAACAACAACAACAACAGCCCACTAAAAAACGAAAATTATCTGAACAGAATGACGATGATGTGCTTCCATTAGAAGACCAAGGAGAAATAATTAAAAAAACAAAACGTTTATCAGAATCGAACAAACATAACGGAACAACAACAGATGAAACAGATTATCGTCCACCAACAACAGAATTTGTTATCATTGTCGATGATGAAGATAAGAGTAGTGAGGAAACAAAAACAACAAATGGTGAATTATATTTAAAACATAAGGATGGAAATGAAAATGAAAATGAAAAAAATTATGAAATTATGAATAAAAAAATGATGAAAATGAAACATTATAAAAGTGAAAATGGTGAGAGAGATTTTGAGAGTCCGTGTAAAAACATCACACTTCTAATATAGAAAACTAGATGTGAATCTCAAGCACTCGTTCTGCCCGTCGCACTTTTAAAACTATGAATTCTCTAGTAACTTCCACCTTTCAAACTTTTTTCTATATTTCTCATTTCTCATTAACTTTTATCTATATTTCTCATCGTTCATTCCGAATTAATGATGAGAGGCGTCTAGAAAGTATAACAAATTTAGTTATAATTCATTTTTCTATTTGTTTTAGGTATGGGTGATAGTAGTAGTTCATATGTCGTATTAGACGATGATTCTGTGATAACAACGGAAAACAATACTGATGATGATAATGATGTTGATGATGTTGATGAAGATGATGATGATGACGATGATGATGATGGTGATGAATATTGTATCGATATATCGGATGATTAAGTCTCTCGTTTTCCCTCTTGGTTTGTGTGCGCTTCTTTTTTCGCTGTAATTCTTTTCTTTCATTTTATAGTGTTGTGATATAATTAATATCAGAACAAAAATATACATGCTTTCACACGCATACACATGCATAGGGACGATTTTCGTTTTTTTTTCTCGCTCACTTTTTCTTGTTGTTGATTCTTTATATTTGTCGTTTATTTGTTTATTGTTAACAAATACTCAAAGCAATTTTATTTTGCTCTTTTGGTTTATTGAAACAATGAATCGAGTTTACTGTCTCTCTCCTCTGTGTGTGTATGCGTGTGTGTGTATGTGTGTGTATGTGTGTGTTTGTATGTATATAGCGCGGTCTCTTGTTATCAACCTAATAAAATAGATGAATATGTATATGTGTGAGGAATAGGATGAGTATTTCTTAATGCCCATCACGATACTTAGAAAGAAAATGACTGCTTGATAAATATCATCTTTGTGAAACTACTTTATTTTGTATCATACGAGGTATGTAATATGTAGTGTATAAGTTTTCAGTGAATTACAAATGTTGATGACAACTATTTTTTCGTTGTCGAAAAACAGTTTCTGGCTTGAACATATCGAATTTTTCAACCTGTTTTCTAAAATTAGGTTGATAATCTTCACTTATAAATAGGTGCTGGAAAAGATTCTGTGTTAGAACACTTTCTGTCGAAAGTTTCTTTGATACTCGTTCATTAAAACCGCAGTACAGTGATCGAATAACAAGTACAATACACGACGGGAAAACAAGCCAAGTGAACATCACTCACTGAACATAATATACCGTTAATAACCGCCCCTCCCCCGACTCCCCTCACTGTTGGGAGGGGAGGATCGCGACAGCCCTGGTATCAGCTAGAACAAATCCGAAAAAAGATTTAAATAGCGCTGTGAAAAAAATACTTTTCTATAAATTTGCCCTTGAGATCCTTCATGAGTTGAATGCATCTTAGTGTTGTAGGTAGCTGAAAAACGTCTCATTTTGTACAGAAATGTTTGTCTCATACGACTGACGTGTTCGCAAAAATGTTTGCTTGTTGGTAACTCTTGTAGTTCTTCAAATTCTTTTTTGAATTTCCCTTACATTTGATATCAAGTATCACGTTTAAAACTGTAAATATTTTTATTCATAAAAAAAGGAGATTGCAAAGTATGAAGGTTTGTTTTTCTTATCTTAATTCCACTAATATGTGGCAAAAGCATTCGCATCAACCACAACTGGTTAGATATGTATAAAAATGTTTGCCAAAATATTGCCAAGATTGAATGTTTTTGTGTTCAGACACAAACAGCTGTATTAAACGTTTTATTTTTAGCAGCATTATCTAAGAAAAAGTTATATGCAGTGTAAAACTTATTTTAGATCACTTTTTATACTCTGACGTAGATGAAAAAGAAAAAAAATGCGACCGTTTTAACAATGAAAATTGTGACCAAATAAATGTTTTAACGTAACCGATGATCATTAGAGTTATTGATGGGTAATAAACGAAGTAAAAATAGGGTTTTCACAGCAGCTTTATATAAAGTCATTTGAATATTTATTTATTCCGACATTTCGAAAATTTATATTTTCATTTTCAAGAAGTGTACAAATAGAATATTATGAACGCACAACAAAATGATTTTTCATTCCTATATATACATTTTAGACAAACAAAAAACAAGAGAGCATTCGATATATAACAGAAAAACAGCTGAATAAAAAATAATTTTTTCTTTTGTTTAATGAGGAATCGTTTTATGCATTAATAAATCGGCTATACTACCACGATCTGCTACAGCTGAACGTATCTTTTTCGACCAGTTCGACTATCTTTTTTATATTTAATTATTATAATAATTTAAAATTTTCGTCTCTTTATTTTAAAAACCGTTAAGTTGAAGTTGAAATGCTGTAAATAAAAATGAAGAAAGGAATTAACTTACAGGATTCGGACTTTTTAATAATGGGATAAAGTGGAAAATATCTCGAAGATATGCAACATTTTGATCATAAAATCCTGGCTTACTTAACCGATAGTCAAAATAAACATAATCATCAGGTTCAAACCAGCTTCCATCATAACCTCTGATTCAAATATTACTTTCAATACCTGAGGAAAGGATTCAATACCCAGAACAGTTCTGAAATACAGTTATCGAAGGACGTAGTGGAATTTCGACAAAATTCTGTACTTTAATGAAGTAATGGAGAAAAAGAATATTTATAAGCGATGAAAAAGAAAAATATAGGATAAATAACAAAAGAATAATGTTGACAAGAAAATAGTAATAGAACTAAAATGAACAGATGATATGATATAGGGAGATGGACGTTAATGGTAAAAGAAAAAAATAGTTAATGACATGAATTGGCTTTTTAAATTAATTAAGCCGTGATATTACTTTTGACGGCGTTGGAATTTCGACGGTGTTGGAATTTCGACGGTGTTGTCAAAATTCCAAAAATTTTCGGAACTTTGCCAACACTGTCAAAATTCCAAACTAATTTCTAAAACTTTACAAACTCCGTTGGAATTTCTACATTTGTCGAAATTTCTATGGAATGTCTAAATTTGCAGAAATTCTGTTGCACTATCGACGTGTCGAAATTCCGAAGCAGAAATTTCAAAAGCAGATCGACGAGTTTACCTATTTTTGTGATAAACGTTTAGCAGGCTCAGAAATAATATCTCTTTGTTATTTTTGTCTGTTGAATAAAAAAATACTGCAATCTTTGAAGAAGAGACTCGATCTCCTTCCAATGAACTCAAACCCCTCTTGAACTCGATCTCGAATAAAAACGAGTACATGCTGCACCTTAAAATAATGCCGTGAGCACGGATCTTCCGCAGTTTTGCATGCTTAACTGAATTTGGTCCTATTGACAAAGAATATTCATAGACCTTTCTAATTTATGCAAGCAGTAGCGATATCTGTTATGGTCATGGATAACTTTACGCTTTGTAAGAAAAAAACATTTGTTCTGGAATTTTATAAGTCAAGAGTGTATGCAGATAGCGAGCTACTCAGTTCACCTTGAATGAAAAGGTGTTCTTTCTGTGTTATTCATTATTCTCTTTTGGGTACACTATACCGATAACACTGAGTTAGAATTATTTCTCATATAAATTTCAACTGTGTCGACACCAGAATATCACTTTCTTTGGTTTTCAGCATTATTAACTACTTTTAAAAAATGATCTTTTCATCGATATTTCAAGTGTGTATCCTTCTGTTCACATTTAATGCAAGTTTCACGTTAATTTGTCATCAGTGCTTTAATGGCCTCGATGTAAGTTTTCCGTATGTAATAAATGCAGAAAATATTCCAGTACTTGATAAAAACTGTACCACGGTTGAGACTATAGATGGTATGTGTATTTCAGGACTGTTCTGGAATGACGTTACTAATATCAGAATCAGTTCAGTTGAGGGAAGCAGGTTTGAACCTGATAATTATGTTTATTTTGATTATCGGCTAACAGACACAGGATTTTATGATGAAAATGTTGCATATTCATGCAACACAGACTACTGCAATGATCCAAACAAGCTGAAACTTTTTATACAATCGATTAATCACAAATTTGATGTTAAATCGATTAAACCATTACTGGTATCTGAGCAACCATCTGATACACAAACGTGCTTCGAATACTCAAACGGCACTACCGATCGCGACTGTCAATCATCAGATGATTTGGCTGTTTGTACACGTTGTTCAATGTTTATGGAAACGAATATGTCAACAACAGCGATGAGCGCTTGTTGTTCTTCTTCTAGTAGCACTGGTCATTTCAGCTACCACAGCGAACGACTATATACAATACGCAGTCGAACGCTAAAATATCACCAGCTTTCAATGGATTGCTCTAATATTCCTCAATGCAACAGTTTTGACAACATTCAGCGAATAAAAAAGTTCTATACAATGGAATTTGATTTCGATCGATTTTTGGGAACTGCACCAACCACTGGAGTTACAGACAGTCGTCCGACGTCATCAGGTCATCCAGCTTTTTCCATTTTAGAAACCTGTGTCTTTCTGGTTATATCGTTGTCGTCGGTTTGGAAAATAGTCACATACTAATAAAAAATTGCTTTCTCATCTGATTATTTATATGATCAAAAACTCGTATGTTTAAAGTTTATCTTCTATATATAATAAATGAATGGAGCATATTTTAAAGTGTAAGGAAAAGTGGTGTTGCAAACTACCCCTTTTCCTTCCGGTGGATCTGGAAATTCGCGCTCTAAAAGAAACCCGTAGCTCACAAAACGAATATCGGTTTTGACATCTGTTCCTAATAAAAACCGATATCCGTATCGTACAGTTCTGCTTGCACTTATTTTCTGGTATATATTCGGTAGGGTGTGATGATTCAGTTTGGATTAATAAGACTCGATCGATATTATGACGTGCGGTAGAATTCGAGAGAAAATGGTGTTTTTAATCAAATTGTTTTTTCTTTGTTTTTGTCAGTTCTTTTAAATGCTTTGGCACTTTAGCTGATTTGACCATCCCACAGATAAACGTTTTTTTCCATAAAATTTCTTTGTGTAATTTTCCTGTTTATCTTATTAAGATTTACAGAAAAAAACAATTTTCTAAAAATAAATTTAATAGTTTTTTTTTTACTCTCGATCATCATAGATTTAAGTATAATGAATGTATAATCTGAAACACTAAAAGAATTAAGAATATGTTACCAAACAAAAAGTTATTCCAGTCGAGAAAACATCCAAGAAACTTATGATATTGAACAATCGAAGAAATTTTCTACTTACTTTATGCGACTAATGAGTACGAGAAAGTTATTATATTAGTTTAATATGGATAATACTTATTTAATAGTAGAAAACAAAAGTTTTTTATTTAATTTATCATTGGTTCATTCGTTGAAAAATATTCAATAGCCGATTTCCGATGGAAGTTTTTTTCAGCTTTAAATAACAATATTAATGAAGATATTTTCTAGAGATCGTCTGAAAATCTGGTGATGGCGCTTGGAAAAGCTTGAACATATATCTGTTAGATGAGCCATAGTCAATATTTTATTAAATTCTTTTGTTTTGGCTTCAAATCTCAATAGTTATGCAAAGATTTTCTGAAGTTCCCCTAAAGATCTTTTGGAGATCCTTTGAATACGTCGTGCACACACCCATCGGATGCACCACAGCTGATTACCTAGGTTTACATTTTCGTTGCACTCGAATCTCAATGTTTCTTGAAAATGGTTTCTGAATTATTTGGTTTTCAACAATTTTAATTATTTAATTTTTGAGAATTTTACTTTTTGTTTATTGAACCATACCAATTGATTTTGTACTTAAACTATATGCTCTATCCAAAGCAAGTAAGATCAAAACTGCAGAAATCATTTTTTCTATAGTTTTCTATAGCGAATATGAAGAGGAAATTTAAGTTATTTAAATAAAACTCGGTTAATGCATGTTTTGAACATCTGAATACATAATCTAGCGGATGGAACTGATTTAGGATATTAACCCTTTGAGTCCCGGAGGCTGTAGTACTTGGTTTTGGGTCAACCACTTATGGAAATGGAACATATGAGACCTCGATGTGACCTTCTCACGCTCGAAAAAGATTAATTTTCATTTCTAAAAAAGTTAAGTTTTTATAATTTAACCTCTTGAATGCCATTATTTTTCCTCTTACGCGTCCAAAGGCATGCATATGTAAAAAACCGATTAAATATCTCTCTTTGCGTTCTGTTATTTTCGTGACATGCGTTCCACTGGCACTTTTTTTTCGTTAAATTGATAGAACGAAAAAGCATATGCAGCATATAAAATTTCCTTCATGTCATCTATAGATGCCTTAATTCAAGAGGTTAAATCTAAAATCAAAATTCGAAAAGAGTTATTTTTTTCAAAATTTTAGTTAGAAACCAAAGTCAAAACATATCTAAGGTTAGACCATTAAGTTTCAGGAAGTTGAAACAGAAAATGAGCTCGGATGGTGAAGTAAAACAAGAATGACTAAGAAAACGCGCCCAAAATCCCAGCAAAATATGACCTTTCGTTTTGTACCATCAACAGCCTAACAGTTTAAACAATAATTTCTTCAGCTGACATAATTTGAAAGAGCATACCTCTCTGCATATTTCTGAAAAGTTGTTCAATAAAAAGCTTTTCCTAAAGTACCTAAAAGACTTAAATTAAAAACTTAAATTTTTTCGAAATATTCTTCATTTTAAAATATAAATATTTCGGGTAGCATAAAACATATTTCTTTTACCATTCGATAGCCCATTTAATTCTCGACAACCGATATAAGATTAGATTTTGTGAAAACTTCTAGATATGTCCGTTTTTCGAAACGAAAGGAAGTTTGAAGTATAAAGTTTATATACGAGGATTTTTTGTCAGTAGCTGTAAACGCCAAATTTATATTGAAATTTCATCAATCACAATTTCACCCGGAAAGTCCACAGCTACTGAAATGTGTGTTTACGGCTACTGAATGAATGGACTAGTAACAGACAGCGCATTATTGATCTGATGACACAAGTTTTAATAATTATTATCATCTCTTTTTTTTTACTATTATATCAGGCGTTAATAATTTTATTACGATCTTAATAATCTTTATATGTTAGTGTAGATTGGGTTAATGACATATTACTTACCGTGGGAATTTAAGACATTACTCACTAACTATCTGGTATAACTTAACTGTTATAATGACTTTCCAATCTGTGATGAAACGACGATAAAAAAAAAATAATTTTTCTACAGGTTCGCCGTTTGTAAACCAGTTTACTACGATAATCGATAATATCATATTCTATCCTTGATATCCTGGTTGGCAGTGATTGATACAAGTTCCTTCTTCTTGATTAAGACCGCTTATCAAAAACAAAATTTAAATAAAGACAAAAATTATATTTGACATTTAAACAGAAATAAAATATATTTTCTTTCTATACATTTTAGACAAACAAAAAACAAGAGAGCATTCGATATATAACAGAAAAAAACTGAATAAAAAATAATTTTCTCTTTTGTTTAATGAGGAATTGTTTTATGCATTAATAAGCCGGCTACACTACCACGATCTGCTACAGCTGAACGTAAACGATTTTCTTTTTCGACCAATTCTTCCAAACGCATTAACTAGAAGAACAACAACAAGAATATGTTAAATATATCATTTTCTTTTAAGTAAATGTATTTATTTACCTCATGTAGACGTTCTAAATCAATTTGTGCTCGTCTTTTTCTATCCCATTTCAAATGTTTTGTACATGTTCGTTTTGGTATTATACACAGTTCATCAGACACATCAAATAAATTTTTTTCAATTGGACAACCACATGCTTCATCTAGACCAATCTAAGAAAAGCAGTTGAAAGTGTAAAAAACTAAATTAAAGATGAAGGCATTAACTAAGATTTACATTACTTTTGGATCTCGAGAATGTTCTGGACAGATTACTTTTAAACGTTTACAATATAATTGATTTGTTGGATCATAATGATCACAAAATAAACCTTCAATATTGGATTTTACATTAGAACCATACGATACTTGACTTTCATACTAAAAATAACGTATTATATAAGAATTATTTTATTAAAAACATAAATAAATCTTGATATATCTCCACCTAATAAAAAATTTTAATTTACTCAAAAAATCTGAAATTATTTGATTTATCAGGTGACTCAAACAAAACGGGATACTTTCGTTCGTTGCTTTTGGGGCATTGCCCAGTAGTCCTAAGAGTTTGTTCTAAGCTCAATCGATAGAAAATTCAATTCTCTACAAAATCTGCTATTTGAATCCCCATTAACATTTTTTTTCGTTTGAGCACCATTCAAAATATTGAAGGGTGCTGAGTTTTTTTTCGTCTCCTTTTTTGAGATTTTTAGCCCGTTGTCTTAGGTTCAGTAGTTAATTTTTCTAGGTAGAAAGATAGAGAATTTTGTGCTCTATCGATCTCACTCATTCACAACTTCATACAATGTTTCCGCTATATCAGTCGGACTCATAATTAGTTCTCAATCGGCTTTTCAATTTTTTCAGATTAAATTAATTTTTTTAATTAATTGTTTCGATTGAGAAATTTTGTTTATATAACAAAAGATAGAGAATTTAATTCTGTGTAAAATAATAAGACTAAAACTTAGGATTCAGGACGTTTTACTGCTTTTAGAGCCCCAAAACTAAAATCTATGAAAAATAGGTTCAATCTATTTAGCTTGATCAGTTTTTGTTCGACACACAGTTTGACAGTTCGGCTCCCTCCAATATTTAAACGAGAAAAATATTATCACAGATTCAAGTAGTAGATTTTGTAGAGAATTGAATTCTCTATTGACTGAGCGTAGAACGAACTCTTTGGATCATTGGGCAGTGCCTCAAAAACAACGAACAAAAGTATCCCATTTTATCTGAGCCAGATGACCTATACATATCAGTGTATGAAACAAATGTTTAGTCTTTATGATCTAGTCTTATAACTGCCGACCTGAAATAAACTTACCCTAATGAAACATTTATCAATGTGTCTCATATATGATTTTTGACTAACTTCTTGATTACACAAGATACAAAAACTAAAAGAAAGACAATTTTAAAAATTAAAACAGAGAAGGTCTTGAGTAAATACCAAGTCCAGTCTGGTTCTTCGTTTGATGGATCTAATTTCTAAATTAATAAAGAAATATGTGTTAATGTTTTTAAGGGTAAGAAAAAGGCAGATCTTACATTAGCATCTTTTATTGCTTTTAATTTCCTTCCCTTCTCAACAATATCATCTAACTTGCGTTGATCATCATCTAATACCACAAGTCGTCGTTTTATTTCATCAATTTCTAATTTAATGTCCTCAAGTGCATTTAAATTTAACACATCGGCAGTAGACGGTATGGCTTGCCAACACATCATGCGCATGGGCAAAAATTGTAATAAACGACTAAAGAAGACAAAAACAACTGTTGAAACATCGCTATAAGGAAGAAAATAATGGAATATTTACTTTCGTGCTAATTCTAAACCACATTCATCTGAACAATATTTCGAATTTGTTCGTGCCTCGTGTACACAACCAGGTCCAAAACATTGTCGCGGCCATTCTTCAGATTGATCACAACGATGCCGAGAACTATAACGACGATGATCCGCTTGATTCTAAACAACAACAACAAATTCAAATTTAGAGTAATTGATTTTAATAGACGCTAGAAAAACTCCCATACATAATTATTTGATCTATCCGTACAATTATTAGATTCAGCCGCACTTCGTTTTCGTTTCGTTGTTTCTCCTTTATTTCCACTACGTTTGGTTGGTGGTGGTGGCAACAGAGATTGTTTTGTTTGATCTAATATATCATTTTCGGTTTTTATTTCTTTTTGTTCTTGCTTGATTGTCGAATATCGATCAAATAAACTTTGTGTATCTAGTTTGGCTTCTAATGTTTCATATTGTACAGTTTGTATTTGATTGCTTGTTGATAAATCCGAATTGATCAAAGATTGATTAGAATGAGTATATGAAGAATCGTATGGTTTCATGAGAGTTGTTGTTGTTGAAGATGATAATGCAGATGATGAATCAGAATTGCTTGAGTCATAGTAAATATCATTAGAAGTATGAGGATTAATGTGCATATTCGTCATCGAAACTCGTTCTTGTAATGACGAATCATTAGCGACCGTCGTCGGTCTCTAAAACACAAAATAAATGTATCTTGTATGAAAAAACATTTTTCTTTCAAACATTTTTCAACAAAACTGAAATCATTTGTTCGATTTTATAATACGGGTAGAATAGCAGTAGTCAGACTCGCTGAAACTACTAGAGCACATAATTTGTCAAAAACAACTTTGAGCTTAAGTAAACAAAAGACCTTTTTATAGCTTTTTCATACGATTCTTTCATGAGGAAGTTGCTAAATCTTTATGGTAGTTCATGGAAATGATTTTTCAAGGGAGATATTTAAAACTTATGGTGCTCGTTCTTTTTCACAACTGGTCTTTTGTTTCTTGTTCATCATCAACTTTTATCTTATCCCGCCCAAATACCTTCTGTCCAGTTATCCTTCTCAAAAGTAAAATTTTCTAACCAATGTTCTAAATATTCCTTGACAATATTCTGTCATAAATAGTATTGGCAAATTTTACTCAAAAGTAAAAATCCATATTCCTTTGTAACATACTTGTTTTTGTTCAAGCTCGACATTGAACGTGTTCGATGAAGTGTTCAGTAACTGAATTTCTCTCCGTAATCGACACTAAAAGAAAAAGAAAAAAATCCATCTTTTCATTTATTCATACATTGTTTCTATTACTTTTATTTCCTCGTTATGCTTGCGATCGAGGTAGTTTCTTACCTGAATAACTTTATGCAATTTTTCTTCGGCTTCTTTCTGAGGCAGCGTATATTTAATTCGTAGCGTGGGAGTTTTAACTTAACAAAAATTAAAAGAGCATATTCACAGCTAGTTTCACATGATCTTTAACTTACAACGACAACGATGACAAAAGAATTCTTCAATTTTTGACGATTCTTTTTCAGTCATACCAATACAATCACCATGATACCATTGATCGCACGAGTCACATCCACTAAAGCGAGAAAAGTGACGTAAATATTCTACTAAGTAGATTATTATTCAAAATATGATACTTACATCATAAATCTTGAACAATCTGTTGAACGACAAATACAGTAGATAGTACCCTTCTTTGAATCTAACATTATTTTACTATTTAAAGACATATTTGATGGATGCTTCAACTTTTTCATGCTTGTAATCGGTAGACGATCCATTCCAAACGAGCACTTCTTTAGATCTAGGATGAACAGCAGAAAACTAAACTTACATCACGTTAGTTATATATCGCTTCGTTTGCAAACGACTACGACTATGTGAGAAAATTTTTCCATCTGTTATTACATCCTCTGAAAGTCGATTTTGTTTGGATTATCACAACAGACATTATTATGATTCCGCTTATGAGAGAGCCCTAGTGAAACTTCTTGTGCTAGAGATCTTGGAAATGTCATAAGATCTTGGAAAAAATACGAAGAAGGCAAGATCTCGAATTGTTGGATCTTACACTCAAGATCTTGGGACATAGAAATTTCACGATCTTGAGCGAATTCACTCAAGACGTTGCAAAATCTTAAGTAAAAAATTTTCTTTACATTTTGGTTTCATATATTACAGTCATAGCCATCAGATATACGACCATATAGAATCATAGGTTCTTCCTTAAACAACCATGTTCAAGAAGGAAAAAAATTCGATGTTATTCGAAATGTGAAAATATTCTCACTTATATTTACACAAGGGTGTAAAACAAAACGATGTTCAAGAAATTCCGAGACCTTAGATACAAGACTCAATCAGTCAAGACCTTAATCAAGATCCTGGTATAAGAAATTCAAGAAGCCAAGAGGTTGCGTACTAGAAATTTCACTAGGGGACTAACATACTTTCTCTTATTCTGTGTCATGTTTAGCAAACAATATAAATCGAGTAAACAAAACTGATTTTTTTACCATCTATAGACTGCTATTGCTGTTGAGAGTTATTTGACCTTTCATTGCCGTCGTTTTCGACGTTTCAATAAGTTAAAGTTTATAGAAAATTGTACTTAGTAGACTATCATTCATTTTGCCTTTGTATGCACTGCGGTTTTGATTATGTATATGACCTTAGTCTAGGGTCTTACAAAACGCCTGTTTGTCTTACTGTCTGTGCGCGAAATACGGAAAAATGGCTGTTCGATAATCCCTGGCTAAACCAATCCCACGAGAGAAAAATAGAAAATTCTTTTTCAACACCGAGAGAGAAAATGTTCAGACACATAGATAAAATATCTACTGACGCGAGAAAAAAAGCTAAGCAAACTTTTCTGTAGTTTGTGGATAGATGTCGCCGAAAATCAGTCAGTTTTGATTAAAGTGGACGAAGCCGTATGGAAGTGCCCTTTAGATTTACATTAGATTACGAGCCTTACACAATGAATCAGAGAAAAATTTACAGCATTTTTTGGATAGTCGTTTATCGAACGCCGACCATCTACTTTGGATTCAAAAGTCAATAAAGGGCGTTCGCAGATATAAGTTCCTAAAGTCAAGGGCACAGCGAGCGGGAGATCGACCCTTGAAAACTTTATTCAGCTTTCTTCTGTTATGTTTTTCCTTTCCTCTTAATATTTTCATATTTATATTATAAATATTTATCTTTATTTATTTTGTATATATGAACGGCGTCTACCACCTCCGAGGTTCAAATCTGCAGTGTACCACCTCGAAAATGATTTTTACAGCAAAAAAGCGCTTTACCTACTTTTGTTTGAGGCATTATGCCTCAAACGCCTCACAGGATAGATGCCTCTGGTACATATTTTCTAAGTGATTGACAAAATAATACACTGTTCTCTTATAAACCGTATACTAATCCGATAATCAGCGATATCTGTTGTTGGTTTCAATAACTATAGTCATCTGTTTCTGTCGTTCAGAATAAGTTATATTTTTTAACCAATTATAAAATCAGCCAATAGCTTTTATCTTGTTCTGCTAGCTACATATCATTTGCTTTTGGTTGATAAGAAACGTGGTTGATCTGTAGTATATATACTACAGATGAGGTACGCCTATATAGGCGTACCTCTTTTTTAGCTGCAAATAGTATCTTAACGTAGAGACTATTATATGTACGTCACGTCGTGTTGCTCCTGGCTCCTGGGAACTTCTATTTAGAGTTAAAACGAAATGATGGGCGATTCACCGTCAAATTTCAACTGACATAATATACTTATTTCTTTCTACTTTTCACAAATTCGTAATTGGAGAGTTTTAAAAGGAACATAGAAAATTGATCTTCTGCCAGTTATTTTTTTTCCAAGACAGCGTAACTGAATGATAGGATGAAATTATTTACTCGTCTGTTTGATCGTTGATGTGTTTACTTTTAGAAGAGAGCTCTTAAAATCTCGCCAAAGTCCCGCGCGCTTCAAATGGGGAAGGCTTCAGTTCGCGATATTTGTGTTCATCGAACATCAGAGTGGTGAATATGTTCTTCCATTAAAGTTATCTTAAACTTCATCCATCTACTCTTTTTTTTGGATCATTTGCCTTTTTTTCCAAGCTTCGAAGTCAAGAAACAGGAATAATTATAAGAATTAACCGACTTCGAAATTTTCTAAACATCCTGGGTCTTCAAAATTCAATTTAATTAATAGCTGACTGTGTGAGAGAGTGTCCACAAATTTACTTATACACAACGTCTTCGGAAAACATATAGAATCGAAGAACAGAAAATATTATAGAAATTCCAAATCCACAACGTGTTCTTGTTAAAACGAAAAGAAAAGAAGAAAGAAACGTGTAGTTGACTATTTGTATTCAATTACGCAAAACTTAATGCTATTTCGTAATTATGTGAGATATGATATGACACTATCAACTTCAACTAAACGCTTGTTTTATTACCGCTGCGAAGAAATGTATTTTAGTGTACCTTGACTGTGAAAAGGCATCATCGGATAGAATTTTTTAAAGTAGCGCAATTTATTCTATACAAATTGTATCAAACCTTATCTTGTAGTTGTAAGAACAGATAGAATGTCTATATTTCGTCAATTAAATGCGTATGAAAGCATATGTGCATATATGAATGTATCATTTTACCTTAAATTGGACAGTGATCAAATCACTGATAATCGTTTATGTCAAGCATTCAAATTATTAGGAGAACATCATCCCTATTTTCGAATGAGAATTGATCAAGGTAAAGATGGCAAACTCGTATTTATCGAAAATGAAAATCAGGATGTGCAACTGATATCTACTAATACATTAGCAGAAGATTGGAAAACACAGCTAACCGAATGGGCAAATGAACCCCGCGATCATTCAAAATCTATCGTGTATTTGAAACATTGTTTCAATGATCGTACTCATCAATTATTTGGTGTTGTTAATCATTGTGGTGTTGATGGACCAGGATTATTTACAGCAATAAATAATTTCTTAGACTACCTCGGACAATTAACTGAAAATGACGTTGAACATGTTAAAGTTAAAGAAAAACGCCAGTTTTACGATATTCTTTCTCGTAAACCCATGAATGATCTAGATAATTCGTCTGATTTAACACACGATTGTCTTCCATCACAACCAGTGGATAATGATGATGACAAAATTGACATGAATGATTTAAAAATAAATGGAGTCTACGATAAATTTGATAAAACATGGACCGATAATTTATCAAAAAATTGCCATGATAATGGCACAACCGTACAAAGTATTTTATCTGTTGCTGGTATGTTAACAACAATATGGATAAGGAAGCCGAGACCACTTCTTCCCGTATGGATCCTCAACTGGTGTCCAGCAAATATGAGAGAATTCACACAATTAGATCAAAATGATATTGTTTGTGGATCCGCTGCATTAGCATGGGAACAAGAAGTTCGCTATGATCAAACATTATGGCAATTAGCTCATGAAACATATGATCAAATTTGTGATAAACGTCACCGTCAAGTTGGTTTTGCCTTTTGGAATTCTATTCTTCAATCAAAACCAATTAAACCAAATACATTAATGACATCATCAATCGGAAAATTAAACATTCATGAACAATATGGGCAAATAAAATTATGTGATATGAGATTTATTGGAGCTGTGTATGATAATGTTACACCATCAAAGAGTGCACATATGACACATGTTTTTACGGCCAATGGTGAATTGACAATGGTTAATTCATACACTTATCCAGCACTCGGTTATCGATGGGCAAGTAAATTTCAATATTCAATGAAAACAATATTAGAACGATTTCAAATGAATAAAGAATCAAATGAAACAGTTGAACAATTATTTCATATGTTAGATCAATGTGTGATTGATTAAGACACGATTGTATATTCATTGTATAATGTTGCTTCCATCATCATTAATGATTTTGTCAACTAATTATTTGATAAAATGCAAATATGAAGCAAAAATTATAGTTTATTTTGATTTATTCAATGCTCCTCTTCAATCTTCTTTTCTACAAACATCAGTATTTCTTGCTTATTTGTTGTTTTAAATATTGGATCTTTAAATAATTAATACATAAATTAATACAGTGGGAAAAATTAGAATATATTTTTTTAAAGAATAAATTGATACTCGACGGAAAATATAGTCCATTTACACTATGAACGATAAAAGATAATAATTATCAGAGCTTGAATACCTTTTTCATTAAAGATTGGTTCGACCTTTTGTTTTTTACTTGAACGAACAATGGGCAATATTAAACTCAGAGTATTTTCCGTTAGTAAATGACCCAATGACAATCATATTATTCTAGATGTGAAAAGAGAATGCAGTATTTATTTATATTATTAAATATTGTCTATGGTATCGGTTTACTATTGTTTCTAAATGGTTTTTTACTAACCCGTCGTACGATTCTTCAGAATTCCACTGATATATCATCTCAACAACAGTTTAAAAATGGTAGTAGTGAATTTAATCAAATTGTTCTTTTGGTTATTGATGCACTGCGCTATGATTTTATTCAACCACAACAGCATACCAAATTAAATCCTTTTTATCATAATCAAATGTCCCATGTTCAACAGCTACTCATTCGCCATCCTCGACAAGCACGTCTTGTTAAATTACATGCTGATCCACCAACAACAACGTTACAACGTTTGAAAGCTCTAACAACTGGTACATTACCAACATTTATCGATTTTTCATATAATTTTTTTGGCTATGAAGTCAATGAAGACAACATTCTATTTCAATCACATAACAACAACAAGTGGAATATATCATTTTTAGGTGATGATACGTGGTTAACACTTTATCCAACTATGTTTCATCGCCACCATGCATATCCATCATTTAATGTATACGATTTAGATACAGTTGACAATGGAATATTAGAACATTTAGATGAATTAATTAAACAACAAAAATCATTTATTATTGCACATTTTCTAGGTAACAATATAGTGCGATTCTTGTGTTTAGATTATTTTCATCAGCAAAGATGTTCCAACTCCTTTAGGTGTTGATCATTGTGGTCACCGTTATAGTCCATCACATACTGAAATGTCTCGAAAACTACGTCAAATGGATATGGTTATTCTCAATATTACATCACAATTGAAATCAAATAGTCTTTTAATTGTTGTCGGTGATCATGGTATGACATCATCAGGTGATCATGGTGGCGATGAATTAAATGAAATTGAAACAGCCATGTTTGTTTATACAAATAAACAAAATTATTTTACTTTGTTAGAAGATTCATCCACTACGATTCATTACTCTCAAATGGACTTTGTACCGACTCTTAGTTGGTATTTACAAATATTAGTTCCATATTCAAATTTGGGTTTCGTTATTAATGAACTGATACCCGAACACGAACATTTAGACGCAATGAAACAAAATTTTAATCAAATTCGTTTATATTTATCGAAATTATCATCTGTCGATTCAACGCTAAAGTTATCAAATGAATTGACTATGTTATATTCTCGATTAAATTCAA